TAACATGAAATTTAAAACATCTTCAATGGTGGAAAGAAATAAAACAACATTTTTCTGAAAAAACATCTCAAGTTGAACCATTTTATTACATTTTTTGAGATCTTTTTGTTCTTATTTTATTTTTGAAATTTAATGATATAGTTAAGATGTTTTACCATTGGTAATTTATCAAAAATGTATAAACATTCGATATACATTTATATAATATATAAAATTATCTTTTGATATAAAAACTTAAAATGGGTTTTATGTAGTTCACAAAAAGATATTAAAAAATGAGCTTTTATGGGTTTTCAATTGAGTTTATTTATTTTAACATGCAAACGAACAACAATCTATGAATTATAGTTGTTTCTAATAAAAATTGGAAGTGATGATTCATGTGTTTTCAATTGAATTGAAAAGTGGCATATTATAACAGACTGCCCAAAGAAATGATAAAAATCAATTTCAATTTTTGTTTTTTGTATAAGTTTTGATATTTATGTAAAAACGGGACAATTGAAAGAAATCATTAACTTGATTATTGACTGCAAGTTATTAATCATATAGGTAATACACTTTTTCGAATTTTTATAAATTATTTACAAAATATAAGATATAAGGTCACTTTATGAGGTTGTGTTTTTAGATAAAATATATTTAAACAATAAAACTAAAAAAAATCAAAGTGCACGATGAAAAGTCTCGACAAGTTTCACATGATGAATGTAGTTCAATACTTTAAAACAAAAGAGGATTTCATGAATTTTAGAAGTATTAACGAAAAGTGTCTTGATGTTCTTTCCATGTTTCATTTCAACCCCATTACAGTTTATGATTTTCAATTGTTTCCACATATGGAGACTCAATACATTTATTCTGTGTGGGATGTAAAGCTCCCATGTAAGGCGTACAAATTTTGTTTTCTCTTAAACATTTCTGAAACCAAGAAATTAAAAGAGCAACTTGGTGATACTGTGACGTTCAAATATATAACTTATGAACCCGAATATGATTCAAAAGAGTACAAAACTGAAAAGGTATATATTCCAAAAATAGTCAATTATTTAAGTGGTTGGCATTACACTCACAACGTCAAAGAAGTGATATTTCCAGACAACATTCTATCAATTGAAAGTCATTTCTTTAGTAATTGTACATTACTTGCAAAGGTGATTTTGCCAAAATATCTGACAAGACTTGGGCTTCTCTGTTTTGAGAAGTGCATGAGTTTAAAGACTCTTACCATACCAAAGTATGTTTCTAGTCTTAATAAACTGTTTTCAGGTAACAATAATTTAGAGAAATTGTCTTTAGAAGGTGACACTGACATCAAACACGAGTTCTTTGAAAATCTTGTTCACCTCACTTCAATCAATTTTAAACGAAATGGACTTACAAATATGGTTATCCCAAGTCACTGCATGTCATCACAACGAAGTCTGGGCGTCTCAATACATCAATTTAAACATGTTGGTCTTGATAAAGTTGATATTCAAATTCTTTCCCAAAACATCGAGTTCAAAAAACGTGTGACGTTTGATCCAAAAGTTCTTGTGTTGTTTTATAAGTGTTTTTCAGAGTGCGTCTTTTTAAAAGAAATAGATATCCCAAGCACTATTCAAACAATTGAAAATTCATGCTTTTCTAAATGTCTTTATTTATCCAAAGTCACGCTCCCAGACAACTTGACAAGTGTCGGGGAGATGTGCTTTTCGGGGTGTAAAACACTTTCAAGTATTAAACTTCCAAAAAACCTTCAAGTCCTCCATCAAAAGACTTTTTACAACTGTATTTCTCTCAGAGAAATTGAAATTCCTGAACGTGTCAAACTGATTGAAAGTAATTGCTTTGAATGCTGCAGTAATCTGTCGGCAATTCACTTTAAAGGATATTTCCCAAAAACTAATAGCGATTTTTATATCATGTGCAAAGCACTCCAATTTATGACAAAGAAAAAGAAACAAGGAAAAAAATATACAATTTCATATTCAAATTCTCGACTAATTTTAAACGGAAAATGTCCAATAGAAAATGTCGTTTTTAAACAAGGCGATGAATTCTGTGATGAAAGTGGCGATTTTAATGTTCAAGGGGATTTTGTGGATGGGGTTATAAGAAAGGTGGACTGTATCAAACCGGATTCACAACGCCAAAAATACAAATTTAAAAATCTCACAATAGATGAATGTGAAATGAAATCTTTGGTGCAAAAATGTTTTCAGTTCAATGAAAATCTTGAAAGGTTTGTTTTGGGGAACGGAGTCAAAATAATTTCAAAAAAGTGCTTTTATCGCTGTAAAAATTTAAAGAGTGTTGAAATCAATGGAGAAATAAAAGAAATTCAAAAATGCTGTTTTAAAAACTGCGAAAAACTTGAAAGTGTGATTATCAGAAAAGATATTGAAACCATTGGCAGACTCTGTTTTGTTAATTGTCAATTGCTGAAAAAGTTTGTGTGTAAAAACATCAAAAAGTGTTTTGTGTCGTCTTTTGAAAACACACAAGTTGATATTGAAAGGTTAAAGAAGAAAATTGGAGTGTTGGTGAAAGAAGAAAAGAAGACGTATGGGACTAAGTACGTCAAAAAAGAAACGAAGTATGAACAACAGAATGAAAGAGAGATACCTCAAAAAGTTAAAATTCAATATGAATTATTTATTTACAAATAAATTTTTTATTGTTGTTTATTTTTGATTATTTTGATTAAATAAAAATAAATGTTTTTTATTTACATTTGTTTTGTTTAAAACGTTGAATATCACGTTTAAAAATAATTTCATCTGATCACCTTGTAAACTTTGATAATAATAATATATATTGTTAATACCTTAAATAACATTGAACAAAATTCAAGTGGTCTAAAAATCGGGAAATATCGAGTTTATTAAATAAATTTTCGTTTTTTAGAGTTTTAATATGTTCATAAACAATACACAAGCCCAAAAAAGGAAAATCATCAAAAATTGGATTAATATCCCAGAAAAA